GCGCCGCAGAACTTCCCGACGTTGCTTGAAGCGCGTCCACCATAGACTTTGTATGTAAACCTGCTGCTCCTGACGCTGAAATTGCGTTCGGTGTGAACGCACCATAACTCAGTCAGATTTGCAAATAGTGTGGTAAATTTCCATACATTGAGTGCTAACACATCTTGCAAGATTTCACTGTCTTTTATTTATTATAAGATTTTCATTTTGTTTTCCATTCAGGCTTCAGAGTTGGCCAATTTCATCCAGAGCAAGAAGGATCTGGGTTGTCGAGCTAGCTTCGTTCAGGTGGTTGAGGAGGGCATGGGTGCTCGCAGCCAAGCTGTCAAGGAGTTCTGGAAGATTCTCGGGGGCCAGTTGGATTACCAGTGTGAGGATAGACATCACCCAGTCCTGAGGAGAGTCCTGACTGCAACAGCGCACAAGCTAAAGCCTTTGCTTTTCTCTCTGTAGCCGCAGGAACACCCGATGAAGACGAGTTGTACGAGAGCGCCATTGTAGAGACGAACTGCATTTATCGATTGATGGATGACAAGTTGGTCCCAGATGATGATTTTTGGGCCAGAATGCCAAGTTGTTCCCTGCTCAACCCAGCAGAGGTTGGATCTTGGGACTGTGTTTCTTTATTGGCATGTCTCTAAACTCAGTATATAAATTAGCCACAATGCTCAAAGTTAAAGATTACAAATATAACTGTGTGTGTTTGATGTTAAAGGTTGTGGCCAGACTAAGAACAGGACATTTAAAGAACCCTTCCTTGTGTTTGTGTGCAGGTTTTGGTGTTTGACTTTGGCAGTGAAATGTATATTTGGCATGGGAAGGAAGTGACTCTGGCACAGAGGAAGGTAGCTTTTCAACTGGCTAAGCACCTGTGGAACGGCACCTTTGATTATACAAATTGTGACATCAACCCACTGGACCCAGGAGAGTGCAACTCATTCATACCAAAGTATGGAACCTAGAAGACCGTTCATTTGATGTTTTTACTAGGGATGCATCGATCCACATTATTTCACTTCCAATCCGATACCTGAATTGGAATATCAGCCGAAACAATACTATTCCTATACCAGAGCTCTGTTTATTTTATTATTATTGTCATCATTATTTATTTATTATTATCATTATTGTTGATTTTATATAAGTTAGAATACAAATATAAATAGTACATGTGAACAAATTTAGCAAACCATTAATCACCTCATTGTTTTGGCTCAAACACACTAAAACTGACTAAACTGTCTACACTGAACACATGAAACTACCTTAGTTGTAAAATTCAAACAGGCCAAATATCACAGATTTTACAGATTATTACTCCACTCTCCATGGCCACAAAACTTCATTCAACTTTTGCATCTTTCTTCCTCCTGCTGCAGAATTTTTTAGCGCTTGAAAAAAAAACTTGTCTCTGTCTCACGAGCCAAACAACTATCTACCTCCTTTCTAACTGCGGGAGAATTGGGTCTTTTTTTCTCCACGAGTCTGTGAGTGTTTCCTGTTGTTTCGTGCTGCAGCAGCAATGTGGTTCAAAATAACTTTCATTGTCAGAAAAAAAAATTGCATGTTCTTTATCATAACTGGTTTTGTGTTTCTTATCAACACAATTTTAAAAACTGGTTGTGTAGTTGGACATCTCTTTAAACACACAAAGTCATGTTGTGGTGAAAAGTTGTTTCAACCACAGAGCTGCTCGTCTGCTAGCTGTCTGCAAACTGTGAGTTCCTGAACAGAGGGGGTGTCTCATTACTCCATGTCTAATTGAGACTCGCCTCCATTCAGGAAATCTACTCCACAGTTTGCARCCRGTCAGCAATCACCTCTGGAGTCRTTTCTGCAGACATTACAGCACAGGCATGGCTCATGGATTGGAAATCTCCCCATGTTGGATCGGAAAGTTATGATCCATTAATTATGTTTGTATCAGAACCAATAATGGATCTGATCAGCCTCACTCCTAGTTCTTACACATAATTGTCTCACCTTTATCGATTCACATGAAAGCCACCATATTTGTTATAATTTATGACGTGCATCTCGAGTAAYCAAACGTTGGTTTGCACATGTAGAAAAGGCCATGGCCGACCTGACTGGGCAGTGTTTGGCAGACTGACTCAGTACAACGAGACCACCCTGTTCAAAGAGAAGTTCCAAGACTGGAGCGACTCCAGGAAAACACCCAATCCCACAACAACAAACAACCACATTACTGATCYCAAGGTAAGGCTAAAGGACAGTTCAGAAGCTTGAAGTGGGGTTCTCTGGAAAGGTTAAGAACTATTAATGTCTTCAGTAGTGTRGGCCTCTCTTTGAACAACCTCAGTTTGGAGAAGTGGGAGATATTTTCTAATGGGCCAACAGCTCTGCTGGTGCCAAAACCAAAGTGGACCGCTGCAATCCTAACACAGCTCTAGTCTCTAAACCCCTTAGAGATTTGTTCAAAAACGACTTTAGAAACCTTTTCTCTGTCATCACTTTCACATTACTCACTTATTTACAAAGAATTGTATGGGATTTCATTTTAAGCACAATTTGCAGCACCAGCAGTTAGCTGTAGCTTTTCCAGTGCAGGCTGGGTGAACCTTTAGTAGGAACTTAATAGTTTTTTCTAGTCAAGGAACTGTAATGTTATGGCAATGTTAAGGGCAGTTTAAAGTTCTTTACAGGTACAGGGGAATTTAAAATAAATGCAATGAAAGACTTAAAATTTCAGCAGTAAATTCATAGTTTTTAAACTCTGCGTCGTCACACGTTCCTGCTTCGATCCTTATCTCAGGAGCTGCACACCTTCGATCAGCCTCATGCCTACAATGTTTCCTTGATGCTGCCCCTACGTCAAGCTCCAGTTTGCACCACGTTGGACGGGTTCAATGTGGGKCGGGGCTACGGCTTGGTGGAGGTAGATGAGTGGATGAGCTACGAGCTCAGCACTGTGGCGGTGGAGGTGTGGCACATCCTGGAGTTTGACTACAGCCGCTTACCCAGACAGAGCATCGGCCAGTTCCACGAGGGCGACACCTACGTGGTGAAGTGGAAGTACATGGTCAGCACCGCAGGTCAGTCACATGATCAGGGTTTAGMGATTTTCATGGTCTGCATTTAGGATATGAGGTATGTAGAAAAGTTAAGATTGAATTGTTAACGCTTCATCCCAGATTTCATGTGGTTGGACCAGTAGATGTAAGTCAATCAAAGAAAGAAATCTATTTGTACTGATGGAAAAWTTTGTTTAAAAAAAGTCACAATATCAGATCAAATTGGACCGTGTGCTAAATCTTTTTCTTCACGCTGACGTGTTACAGGATTGTTTTTGAAGAGGAGCAGACCAGCCAATTCCCATTCTCCATACAGCTGTGAAAGTAGACGTTTTCTGGTCAAAAACAAAACAAAGTCACACATTTAAAATGTCTTTAGCCTTAAAACAAGGAGTTACTTAAGACTTTAAGGAGCAAATATACCAGATCCAGCTCTGTGCTGATGGTAGGAGCTTAAATAAGCTTGGGTTACCTTTTAACACGATGCTTTTACTGTCAAAATTAATCCACACGACTTCTGTTGTCTGTTTTATATGTTGTTTTATGTTTAATTGCCTTGTAAATGAAGTTAAAAGTGCAATTATTCACAGGCAGGAATATTTTATTTTAAATTTTTCTGTGCTTGGAGTTTTTTGTTGATCTTAAAATAGTATCAGAGTCCTCATTTCAAATTTAAATAGATCAGGAAGTGGTTTTAAATAATTAGATCAGATATAAAATCATGTCCTCAATAAAAAAAAACTACTACCAATAAACTTCAATGGTCAATATGTGTTCAACCCTAATATCAAATCATATTTTTGATTTACACACTTTGTCCACAGTTTCACATCACAGAGTCGAATGTCTTCATACTTTATTGTATTTGTTCTGTTGTTACATAAAGCAGAATATACTGCATAAGTGTAATGCTTTACTGCCACTGTTTATATTTATCCTGATTTTATTTTTTTAAAATACCTCCCTGACTAATCTTCTGACACATTATCTAAAACGTGTCAAACTCATGGACCATGGGCCAAATGTAGCCTTTTTCAGCTTTTTATGTGGCTCATAGGAGCTTCTAAGATGCATTAATGTCCTAAAATAAGCTCATGCTGCTTTAAAGACATTAATCATAAACTACATATCCCATAATGCATGTTGATTTTTATTTTTGCCACAAAATGATAGCATCCCACGACTAGGTGGGTTAAAAAATAGTGTCCTGCAACCAGCAAGATTTGCAGTGAAACATTTTGCTGCATTTTCTCTGGTTACTTCAGTGTTTATAAAATAACATATTGAAACACTGTTTCAATGCAGGAAATACCATGTAGAGCTCAATTTGAAACATCAAATTTAATTACAGCTGGCCCTTTGAGGGCCACCGTTCTGGTCGTGTGGGTCTGTGAAAAGGAGTTAGAGACCCCTGGTTGTCAGATTATTGCAGCTCATTTAATGTTTTGCCCTCAGTTGGGAGGAGACAAAACCCAGAACAGCTGAAGACCAGCGGAGCTGGAAAGGAAAAGAGCTGCTATTTCTTCTGGCAGGGCTGCAACTCCACCATCAGTGAGAAAGGAACGTCTGCACTCATGACGGTGGAGCTGGACGAGGAGCGAGGTGCACAGGTGTGTCAGCATAAACCCCAGTGTGTGTTYATATGTGTTCATCTCTGTGTGAGCATGATGGTGAACGCTTAGCCTTGTGTTTTACTCAATACTTGTCCAGGTTCTGGTCCAGCAGGGGAAAGAGCCTCCGTGTTTCCTGCAGTGCTTCAAAGGAGGGATGATTGTCCACTCAGGGAAAAGAGAGGAGGAAGAAAACTCCCAGAGTAAGCCTTCTTCACATCGTTATCGCCTAACGAAGAGAAAAGGGCAGTCCTGATTTTACCTGTCTTTCTGTTAATGTGTGTTAGCAAAACATTTAATTAACCACTACATTAAAACCAACATTACATTAAGATCTCACCAACTGACCTTAAAGAAAATCACACAGAAATGGTTATAATTCAGTCAGTTTTACAGATATTGATCTTAAATTTACTGTGTTGGTAGCTGAGTCCTTCTGAGAGGCTTTTAAAAGACGTTATAACTCCAACATACTGAAGCCATCTGCTGCTCTTCCTGTCAGGTGATTGGCGGCTGTACTGTGTGCGTGGGGAGCATGAGGTGGAGGGCCACCTGCTGGAGGTGGTGTGTCACTGCAGCAGTCTGCGCTCCAGAGTGTCCATGGTGCTGCTCGGCGTCAGCCAGGCTCGGATCTATCTGTGGCACGGCTGTAAATCCCAAACGCACACGCGCGAGGTGGCACGCACCGCTGCCAACAAACTCAAAGAACAGTAAGTGAAAATGGCATCGCTGCAAAAGCTGTCAGGAGCTGGAACAGGGTGTGYTGTGTAAGAGTTTTTAATATTAATTAATTWATTTATTTTTTGGTGCAGCTGTCCTCTGGAAACAGGTCTCCACAGCAGCAGCAAGGTGACCATTCAGGAATGTGATGAGGGAGCCGAGCCAGCGGGATTCTGGGAAAGCCTGGGCAGAAGAGACAGGAAAGYGTATGACTGCATGCTGCAAGGTGAACGTGTACTCTTACTGCTCAATACAAACACAAATACACACCATCCAAAATCAAGTCTAAACCAGAGGTTGTACTAGACTTTTTCACTGTTCATCATTTTGACTGACAGGGTCAAAAAATCAATTTATTTTTAAATGTCACCTTCTGTAATAAACATTCAAAAGCTTTTTCTTTCCCATTAATGTTAATTAATATCCACTTTGAACAAGCTGAACAGATAATTCACATCAGTCAGATAAATACGTGGAAATTTTTCTCTGCAGTAACAAAAAAAATCCCACTGGCTGTGGACCCAATAACTTTAACTAACAGTTTTGGACTCGGATGGACCACTTCTCATGGCTGTCTTCATGTTCTGCTGCCACATGTTTTTCCCACCTGTTACCAACACCATGGTCATTTTGAGGCTTTTTAAAGAAACTTCAGACACTCAGCTGCCGTGACATGCCGAGTGAAGCCAATGAGTGAGAGAGCAGTTAATTGATTCGCTGACTAACAAGTGGTCAGAGGTGTTATTGCAACCTGTCAAAATGACGGACAGCCTTCAGATCTTCCTGTCACAGGAACAGTATGTGACTAAGCATCTTTCATACTAAAAATATAACCTTGAAGTTGGTTAATTGATTTGATAGATTTAGAACTGTAAAATGTGTGGGTCCTTTACAATGCAATGAAAATGTTTTTTTTTTTTTTTGTATAAAACACACCAAGAGTTCAGATTTTTTTCAATCACATCTCTTTATGTTCAGAATGATTGTGTTGAAACATCCTCTGTTAGTTGTAGACTGTTGCAGCTTTGCCTTTTTTTATTTGACTGAAGAAGGTATTTGATTGGACTTGGACAGTTTTTGTAATCGTTAGGGTTGGGCATAAACGTATTGTGCAATTAATCATCAGGAATATATTAATAGATTATTTTTTGGCATATGCGTTAATACGATTAATGCCAGCAGGCAGACTGACTGGTGCTCCTCTCTGCTTCAAATATGTCAAAYATTAAAAAAATGTTCTGTAATTTATTTATCAACACAATTTAAAGTTAGATGTATGGCCTAAAGTCTGTTATTTTGACGCAGTTTGGAACAGATTTTTACGAAGAGCAAATGTTTCCCACTAAATTTGTCATGTGACTAGGACATAAGACTCCAGGGGGTTAATTGTCAAATTATTGGTTTTTGGCTAAATACAACAATTAATCGTGATTTTTATTTTATTTATTTATTTTTTGCCAATATTGCCCAACCCTAGTAATTGTTTTTTTCTTTCTCTAAACTTCACCTATCTGCACTGGCTTCAAAGAGTGTTCAGACCTCATTCACATTTTGCAGTTTTATGTTGCAGTCTGATGCTACAATTGTCAAAATGCATTTTATTTTCTATTAATTTTTTTGCTGTACCCTCTAAAGTTAAATTCTTAGAAATACAGAATGTTTTATAAAGTAAGACCCACCAATCTAACCTCTAAGTAACACGTGTTTAAAGCTGAGATACATTCTGAGGATGAAAGTCTGCAGCAGACTATTGATCTGAACTTTTAATGCACCACCTAACAAAGAACATTAAGAGTTGAAGTTTTTCTACGAAGTTTAATCTGATCGTGTGACTTTCAGATCCTGGAAGGTTTAACTTCACACCTCGCCTGTACCAGCTGAGCAGCACCTCGGGAGAGTTTACAGCTGTGGAGCTTCTTTACCCCGCCAGAGACCCCAACCAGGTCAACTCCATGCCTTTCCTGCAGGAAGACCTGTATGCAGTCTCCCAGCCAGGTGTGTAGTAAACACACACACACACACACACGATTCACTGAAATCAAAGCAAAGAAAGATGATCATAAACAGTGGTTTCTGTCATGGTCAGCCCTGTTCTTGGTGGACAACCATCATGAGGTCTACCTGTGGCAGGGCTGGTGGTCTCAGGACAGTGAGAGCACAGGCTCGGCCCAAATCCACTGGGACTCGGACAGAAAGTGTGCCATGGAGACGGTGCTGCAGTACTGCAGAGGTACGACACCTCAGACCCCTCATGTCAGGGTTCCAACAGGTTTAAAGAGAGACTTTTAACAGATTTTATGAGGTGCCGTTGTCAACCGATGGGTTTTTTGTTTTCCCAGAAAAGAATGGGAGGAAACCTCCCAAATCGTATCTGATCCATGCAGGTCTGGAGCCGCTCACCTTCACCAACATGTTTCCCTGCTGGGAGCACAGAGAGGACATCGCCGAGATCACTGAGAGGGTCCGTACACATTTTACCTGCTCTGAAATGTGTCAGGCAGTACCATAGTCAGACTACATGAAGCCACCAGTCTTTGGCACACTGTAGCTGAGTTGAAGGTCCACTCAACTGTTCAGGAAAAACAAACCTGTTTGTTTCATATCAAGGATTAACTTTAAGATTCAAAGTGGACTGATTTATTTCTTTGTTCCCATATTTGTTGTTGTGTGAAACTTGTGCGTGTTTTCAGGAGGCTGAGGTGTGTAATCAGATCATCCTGGTGGAGGACGTGTTGGCCCGTCTGTGTAAGAGCAGGTACCCACTGGAGGAGCTCCTCACCCGGCCGCTGCCCGAAGGAGTCGACCCTCTCCGTCTAGAAATCTACCTGTCCAATGAMGACTTTGAGGTGAGGAGAGTCTACATGTTACTTCTGTTTTTTTTTCTTTATCATAATAAACAACAGCATATCAAAGCTGACAGAACAGTTGTGTATTTTTTTCCCTTTTCAGTGACTTTCCCCAGCTGTTTAACAGGTCTAATCATTTCACAAATATTTTTAAAATAAGTGAAAACAAGTCCCCGAGACTTCTGTCCCGTCCATCCTCCTCCTCATGTCTTCTCTTCACAATTCCATCATGTCAGCTTGTCTTGTGACTCCTATAAACTCAATAACCTGACTCCTTCCACCCTGCAGGCTGTAGGGGCTTACAGGAAGGTGAGTGGACTGGTTCCAGCATGGAGCACCTGGACTCGCTACGACCTCACTCTTTATCTTCTTCACCAAAACGCCGCTCTCTACTACCTGTGTAGCACTTTTAACAAAATGTCTGCACTCCTGCATGTTGTTCAGTGKCTGTGTCTCAATTCATGGGTTGCAGTCGACGTGGGCCGCAGGCCGCTCGTGTCGGCTGGATGCACGGCTGTGAAAYGAGACGGTCTAGTCCAGTGGTTCCCAAACTTTTTGTCTTCTGACCCACAAAATATTCATGGCAAAAAATTGTGACCCCAAATATTACTGGTCTGAGTACACAAACTTTGTTAATAACTCTAAAAACAAAGGCTACACAAATATAAATACTTATTTATACTTATTTTGTGTTTTTGTGATAATTATAGGGAAATATTACACCACCAAGTATTTTAATACCCTTTACATCGAGTTCTGGGGTCGGATTTATAAAACTGGCGTACGCACAATTTGAGCCCAGAAACTTGCGTACGCCACTTTTTACGC